TATATATATACATATACACATATACATATATATATATATATACATATACACATATACATATATATATATATATACATATACATATATACATATACGTTGCCTGCAATTGTTCCAGTTTCTTGCTTCATTTTCCATTTGGTGAACATAATTGCACTTCTTGTGCGTTGCAATGTGCAAACATTTAGCAGAATAGACACAAGCAGAGAATCGTTGATTCGAATGTGTGCGGCATGCAGGCGAACTGGAGGCAGCCAAATCAAATGAAAGCACCCTCCGGAGCAGCTCCTAATCCCAATGTTCGCTTGTCTGCTCGCTTGAATTTCACTTAGGCGACCGTCCGCGCTGCAGGATCACGTGTCCTTTTTATACCCTGAGTCCATTTGCAATGGGTAAAATGAGCTTATTAGCTTAGTGCAGTTTTTGTTGTGCTACAAGCCGTAGGGGACTTTTATCTGCTCGTTCGATTGCTATAGTGCCAAATAATAACAATTGATATTTAATTATATTTCACAGCTCCTTAGGCCAGCAACTTAGGGTATCTGCCAGTCGGCTCTATTTCCTTTTTGTGAGTCGTGTTACTTGTTAATTTTAAAGTACTTCACTTTACTTTGTCCACTCAATGAGTGAGCCATTCCAGTGCCAGTGCCAATGTGTGTGTGTGTGTGTGTGTGTGTGTGTGTGTGTGTGTGTGGGTGGGTGTACGTGTGTGTGTTATTTCTTTTTCAAGTCGTCTATTTTTTAGCTTGATTAAGCACTTTGTGTAAGTGGAGCACATGCAGATACTCCCCCTTGCACATATCCCAACTGGCCAATGGCATTTTTAATTTACTCCGCTCGGAATATCTAAGTGTAAAAGTGAAGAGTCTTTGTGCTAAAGTGTCTGATTTTACCATTGTCATTTTTTTTTTTCTTTTCTTTTTTTATTTGAATGCGAACTCTTTTCTAAAATGTAAGAAAATAGCTTTAGTTGTTGTTTCGCCCATTCAAGCAGCAAACAATAATTGAAATGCAATAAAATTAAATTATTTTCAACAAAGCCACAGGAAACGGAAGTGCTCACCAATACACACACTCACAGTAACAGAGGCACACACACACACACACTCACAAAAGGCAATCTCTTCACAGTTTGCGCAGATAGTTTTTGCATTGCCTTTTATTGCGCTTATTATAAATACTCTTGGGTATTGTTTAAATTGCTTTCCGTTAAAAAAGACTGTCCATATATTTTATTTGCGAAGGTAAATAAATTGGCATAAAAGCATGTAAGCTGACTTCTGCACATGTGTGTGTGTGTGTGTGTGGGTGTGTGCGCGTGTCTTTCTGATGTCTGTGTATAATAAACAAATACATTTTTATTATTTATGTATTCATGGCCATTAAACGGATATCCGTGGCCATTGCGCGTTAAATTGCAATGGACCCCACACCCTCGCCTCCCCAGAGAGGATCCGCCACGTGCCGTGCGCCGTATTATGTTTCTGTAAATAAACCTATACATACAACTATATTGACTATATGCAATACATACACACATACATGTACATAGTTAACTTTAATATGCCTTTCTGGGCTTATATTCGAAATGCAGCTCTCACGTCGAATTGAATTAACGCATAAATTAACAAAAATTATGCAGCGTTTAAATTAATTTAATTAATTTTCAACATGCCATTTACCTGGAAACGCTCTTTAAGACCCAACCTATTCGACTAATTAATAATGGTAAACTTAAACGAAAATTTAAATATATAAATTTTAAAAAGACTATGCAACTCACCATTGAACAATTTTATAACATTCCAGTTATATTTCATATGCATTTATACACTTTAACTATACAAGTATATTATTCTTATAATTGTAGTAAGTCTCTTATTAAAGCTTGTTTGTTTAATCGTTCGAATTGTACTCAAGAATTGGAATCAATTTATCTCTCTCCCTCTTTCACTCTCTCTCTCTCCGTTCTGCTCTTTCTACTACATCTCATATCTTATGAAATCATTTACATATACAATGTCGTTGCTGTATTTCTATATATTTGTAAAATTTTTTTTTTAATTTTCTCCATTAATTCTCCGACTTTGTATATTTAATATTTCGAGTAGTTTTATGAGACTCAATTTTTAATTATACTAAATAAAGTTAATCTCTGCTTGATGTTGATCGACTTAAATGTTTCAGATCTATTATTCTTCAGGTGAATGTTGAGCTCACATCAAACAGATGAAAAGATGAACTCTGTGTCAAGGAAATTGTGCGAGTTCGGACTCGAATTTCTTTGCCTTATTTTCTTGAATTATACCTTCAATTTGCATTCAAGCTTAGGCTAACAAGAATGATTAGTATATCCTGCCAAAAGTTCATAATGTAGAACATTCGCTTTAATTGGCTTCTTAAGTATTTCAGCTTCAGCCGTAAGAAAAACAATTACCCTCAATTTTTTCAATTAGTAAATTGTAGATTAAATTTGTTATTAGATCTACTTGCGAAGGACCTTTAGTCTTATAAAAGGTCGACTGCTTAGAGCACTGCACGAGCCAAGGAAGTGGAGCCATAGCAATAGTAATTGCCTGATGTGTATAATACACTCGTATATGTGAATGGCTTTCTCATACATGACCATATACGTATGTATATGTGTTCGCACATATATGCATTTATATTGGTACAAGTTTTGCCAAGAGGCGGCTGCGGTAATGTTTAGATCTGCCCGGCTCCAGCTCTCATATATTAATTCTAATTAAATTTGTTATTCAAAACGAAAATGCGGCACGTCCACGTCAGCCATTTTGCAAGTGTTAACCTTTTGGCAGTAGGCGCTAAGCTCTCGCAAATGGACCAACATTGACGGCCACAATTCGCACGCAGAGGCCCGAGAGCAACCTTGACATTTTCTGCTTCTGCTTCTGCTTCTTCTTCTTGTTCTGTTTTGCCCGTTTTCATTACACTAATGAAGTCATGTACGACTGTGTGTTGACAGCAACTGTGGCAGCTCGTGTGTCTATGTGTGCGAGTGTGATGTACGTGAGTGTGTGTGTGTCTGTCTTGTCCAGGTCCAGGCAAACGACCATTGCCAGACATATAAAAGGTGCATGACGGGCGCTGGCAGCAGCGACGCCTCATTAAACCATTTTATTATGGCCAACGCCATGGGGCGGACTTAACTTTGTCAAAGATTCCCACTCACACACACACACACACACACACACACACACACACACACCACACCACACCTATACAAATCCACACAAGTGTAAACTGAACACATGCCGCCTACATCGTTTGGCGGAGCCCACATTTAACGCTTTAAATTCGTGCGCATCTCGAAGTGGAAGTCAAGTCGCTGGAATGCCAGCTAAATTGTAAGACGACAGAAATATTTCAACAGGAATTTACGATGCGCGCACACTAAATGCTCATTTAGTTTGCACTTTTATTTAGAAACTTGGTTTGCACGTCTGCCAAATTGTCTGCGGTAGCGCAAAGCCAGCCACAGCAGCCGCCAGCAGCCGCTGCACCGCCACCACCACCAACAACAACAACAACAACAAGCACGTGTAGAACAACGTTGCTGGAGCTGGGGCAGAGTGCAATAATAATGAAGGGAGAGGCGTAAATTTTGCTTTGGCTGCAGCCTGCGAAGCGAGAAAGCGCTAGAAAGAAAGAGAGAGAGAGAGAGAGAGAGAGACCAAGAGGGAGAGTGAGAGACAGAGAGAGAGAGAGAGCGAGAGATATAGTGTGTGGCTTCTGCCAGGTGAGCCGTGTTGTCAGCGGAAGGCAGCAACAAATTTTCGTTGCGAAAGCTTTTAGTAAATTTATGGCAAGAAATTTCCCCAGCTCGAACTGCAACTGCAGCTGGAATGGCCTGCCTGGCACTGGCCGTTTGTTTATGTCTTAGTCTCGGAAGTGCGGAAGGTGCGGCCTTTTGGATGTTTTGTGGGAACCTAATGCACTCGTGCTCAGCCAATTGCATACGAGCTCCCACACCACACCGATACAGGGCTGCCTAATTGAATGCCAAACTGTTGAAAGGTTTCATAACGAGCGCGCTATTAATTTGTGAATTATTCACAAACGAATTCCTCACACACGGGCCGCAGCTGCCGCATATGGGTAGACAATAGAC